CCACTGTGAGGGTGGGGAATAATAGGGTTTTAAGGCCCAAATCCCACTAATATTATAGTATTTGGGCCCTAAAACCTTATTATTTGGGTCCTTGGACCCTTAAGGTCCTATAAACATGTAGGTCAGAACCCTTGGAAGGGAAGGACATCCAGGGTCCACGTATTGCCTGCGTTACCTGCTGGTTTGCAAGGGATGCAAGTTTCCACATATGTTCGCACATATAGCCGCGAGCCGCTAGAGGAACCATGAGCATTCGCAGAGTATCCCCAGAAGCCCAGGTACCTGTGTAGTAGATTCCCGGGGCTCATGTAATATAGATCGATCTAAATGGGGACCAGGGAGCAGTGACCCAGTGTATAAGTATCTGGGCTTCTATGATATGGGAACCTGCCCAGGTTTGATGTCGAGAATGAGCCGGAATGAGCTGCGCGCTTCCTCCGACCCACACGTCTCCACGTAGCTTCCAACATGAATGCCAAGCCCCAAGCAGCAAAATTGATTCCCTAGTGGATGTTCCTTTAGGGGTTGTGTTTCACTATTTGTTCCCGTTGGCTGGGGGCATAGATTAACCCATGCACGTCGAGACCCTGACTTTCGGCCCGGAACGCACAAAGCTGCATGTGCGGGCTGGTTCGAAGCTGGGACAAAGATTTTGTGTGGCCGCTGTGCGTGATGGTGCTGGGGGTTGACACCTTGAGCATTCCTATGCAGATGCTGCCAAAAACATAGTAGAGACTGAATCTTTGCACCGCCTTCAGGCGCAATCCCCTCAGGACACAGCACCGCACATTTTTTAGAACACGTAAGTTTTTTTCTTGGGATTGGCCCCCTTACACGAACAGCCCCCTGTAACGGGACTGGTGGGTAGACGGCTCATTATGAATCTTTTAGCCACTATGACAGTGCGTGGGCTGATCCTGAGTTTACCCCAGGGCTCCTATGTAGTTCCCCTAAACCCTAAACCCTAAACCCAACACCTGAAACCCTAAACTCTTGGGTCTGTGTAGAAGAGTCTGGGTATCTACAGCGGCCTTACTTTGGGCAGGTCTCTTTTGATGACATCTTCAGCCACCTGGATGGGAACGCTGACGGGAAGGCTGGACTTTTCAAGTAGTTGAGAACTAGTGGTAATAATAGTAGTAGTAGTAGTAGTAGTTATTACAGTGATTGTAACAACAATAACAAGATGAATAGTAATAGTAAGAATATCAGTGATGTACTCATAGCAATAGTAGTAAAAGTAAGAATAACAGTAAACAGAAAGGAGTTTGGGGTCTAGTTCTTCGGGCTTCAGGTCTAGGGATCGAGGTTTTGGGGATAGGGGTTAAGGGCTCAGGAGCCTTTTGGGGGTGAGTGGTAGGGTATATAGACATTTATACACACGTGGTAGCATATATATATCTACATGTATATGAATATAAGTGTGTATGTATATATACATCTATAATGTACATAAGTTTGTAGGATGTAGAATCGATAACTGCATAGGCACGGTCCGGCTACAGGTTTACAGCACAGGTCATATCAAATACTTAGTCCATCCCTGTCTTCTGACCAGGGGTTTGCTGGGGACTCAGGGAATATGTGGTTCAGGGTTCAGGGTTAGTAGGGAATAAAGTAATACAAAGGGGTTATATAGGGTTTAGGGTTAATTAGTAGGGAACAACGGAATATATAATATAGGGCTGTAAAGGGATTGTAGTCCCTTGTTCCTGACTAACCACCAGTAAGTCTTGGTGTGTGGAATGAGGCCGTCTTCAGGAGAAAAAAAACGTAGCAATTCCCGCAGTGTTTTTCCTAAATTGTATGCTGCGCAGGATTGTCAGATTGGGCAGAGCCTAAAATCTACTAAGAGGCTTGGGTGTAAGCGGGGTTTCGGGGGTGATGGCCTCAGAGATTCGGGCGGAGGATAGTTGTTGCCAGCATAAGCGAGTGTAGAGGCAAGTGTTCCAAGCCTACGGGCAGGTGGCTATCGGCAGCTAGATCATCGTGTAAAGGCCAGTCCGCTCTTCAAAACGATTAAGATTTCCCATCAAAGCCCCCATGCGCGGGTGCAGTTTTTTTCGCCAAACAATAGAGCAAACAAATTTCGAATCTTAATACGCACGAACCTGGCAGGTGAACACTCTGGATGAGGCAGGGCCGTGAGGTCATCCGGTTTAAGGTTCTTTAAGGGGTTGAGGGTTTAGGGTTCAATGTAGTCTTTTGTTTACTTGGACCCTGGACGTCCTTCCTTTTTGGGGTCTGTCCTACATATTTAGAGGGTATATCTCAAACAGGGCATTCAGAGTCCAGGTAGAGTTCAGGCTTAGGGCCACCTAGTCTTGGGTCTAGGGTTTCAAGGGCTTGGGTTTTTAGGTGCACGGAGGTTTATCAAGGTAGGTCTAAATCCGGGACTAGATGTCGCAGGTTTCTTGGTGACTCCCACACTCTCGCATTGGAATTATGGCCCCAGCTGATGATCACTATTCTTGGGTCCGAGTCTATCCCTGTTACACCGTCACCAGTCGGGGCATGGCCTGTGATTGCCGGGCAGTTCGCGGCTTGGTTTAGGTTTAGGGCCTTCTACGGTCCTATAGGTAAGCTGATAGGGTTTGCATCGTGCAGTCTACTCAGGTGATCATACAAAATACTAGCCTTCTAGGCTGCGAACTCGACTAGCCAAGTTCAGGAACTGAAGCGGCCTCTTGAAAGAAAAGTCAAAGCTCTCCCTGCAGATTCGGACGCTTTTCTTCGGCGATATGCTCTCACCGGCTGCGGCACCAATACGACCCTATGCCGAGTTCCAGGGCTGCATGTTTTATAGGGTTTAGGCTGAAGGTTCAGGAATTCTGGTGTAAGTCTAAGGTTTGAGGTTGGGGTGTAGGGTGCGGATATTTCTGAAGCATTGAAGTACAGAATGAATATAGCCAGTCCCAACATTAAGCCCACTTAGGCCGACTTGCCAAATGTTCCCTATGGTAGGAGGAGAACGCAATGACCTACGTCCACGACTGGATGACACGAATTTTCGATCCCTTCCAAAAGTGAACAACCAGACGGAAGACTCTGAGCAAAGTTAAACCTAATCAAACCTAAATTTTGCATGTTTTGACAAGGGAAATCATTCAGCACAGAGTCATAAAACGCCAAACCACGACATGATGCCGTCCACAAGGTGTCCAGATGTCACTGTTCTGCAGAAGGACAGCCGTCAGGGTTTCTTGTTGAGGGTCTTCTTCTCACGACTGTGCCGGGTCCCGCAGGCCCTTCCAGGCTTTCGTTTCTTCGAAGCTCGCATTTGCAACATTAAATCCCTTGGCTTGCGGGGGTAGTCAGTTAAATGGACTTAGGCTATAGGCTAAAGGTGTTATGCCCTTCTCTGCTTGTGCTAGGCGATCTTCAGACGGATCCTCTGCAACGACCCCTTTAGCTCCTATAGACTCATCTCAAAACCATGCAGACGCAGGATAGCTCTATAACTGATGACTACTCAGGGACACGTGATGCATTCGGGTATAGCCGAGGATGTGCCCAAATTTGTTGGCCCCTCCGTGTGAACGCCACCGACCTGGATAGGATTGTTTGCGGTACTATCCAGACCCTAAAACGACCTGCCCCCCCGGCCCCAAGCAAGCGATCCCATTGTAACATGGGGGAAACTAGGGGATCATAAGGAGGCTTCATTGTTTGGATCCTTTAGTGTTCTGAAACAGGCATATATTCCTCTTACAGTCCTTCGCCTCCGCCCTTCGTGCACAAAAGGTCTATGTACGTATACTGTGTACACTCAGGACCCAAAGGGGTTCCCCTACCTACTTAGGGGCCCAGGTAGACATTACATGGCTACCTGGACCCTCTGGGATTACTGGCCTTTGGGGTTAGCAGGAATGAATGATGCGTAAAGTAGTCCGTATATCACCCATTATAATAGCTTCCATTTTCTAATCCATTCCTTCATTCCCAGCTAACCAAACGCCAGATTACAGCACAAGCCTCAGGAGATAGAGACACACCTGGTAAGCTACAACGAGATGTCCTCCAAGCCAATGGATTTGGTTTGCTTCCTCTACATGCCGCTTGCCAAAATGTGCTATAGTCTAAACACCTTAAAGGGGTTATATAGGGGATTGTATGCGGGACTACTATATTGGTTATTAAGGGCAAAGGAGTTTAGACTAACGCTCACGGTTAAGTGGTCAAGGTTTTGGTTTGGGGTTTAGGGTTTCCTGCTCTTTGGGTCCAGTATGCAGTGTCAAGGGTTGGGGAAGATGGGAGGCGTCCTTGCATCCTTGCAACAAGCTCGTTTTGCTTGCTTTGCATGTGCCATGACGTGCATCACATCCTCTATTCCCACTGTTCCTGACTAGTGCTTCCACTGCATTAGAGTGGTTTCATCAGGTTGCATGGGCAGAAGAGAGGAGTTTTCGTGAGTTCACCTTTTGTCATGTTTTAGAGACATCACTCCAGAAATTGTGCACAACAAGATTCAGAGGGATGCTGCGCATCTCATGTCTGCAAACCACTCAACTTAATCTGCGTACGTCGCAGAAGAGGTCCAGACCATTAGCAACGAATCACGGGGCTTCGCCAGAAACGCTGCTTATGTGACTTGTCGAGTCCTGCGCATTCTCCGTCTCAGCAATAAAGGAAATTGAGTCTTGCAGCTGTGAACTGCTTCCATACTTAGTCTGGAGCCCCCTGTAAGATCCATGCCTTAACCTGTGGCTTAAGAGCCATCCCAAGCAAGACGAGGTTGGAGCACCTTGCACGAGTTGCTCGTGTCATCAAAAGCCCGGGTGGCAATGCCTTGCTGGCGGCGAGCTCAAGTATTTGCTTGGGGGATGCCGGGTGAGGTTCGTTCCGTAGCTGTAGCTCTCATTAATGACGTGTCGTTACAGTGGTATGTTCCAAGCGTACGGGCCTCTACTGGGGAGCTTCGACAATGATTTCAGGAATTTTTTCTAGCACAAAGTGATTGGAAATACGTCTTGGGGACGATCTGCAGGACTTAATTATCATGGGTTTCCCTGCAACCCCACTAGGCTCCTTCTTACCTTGATTAGTTAGGGATATGGCTGCTAGTTGAGGCAAATTACGGTGGAACCTCGGGTTATTTGCTAGATCCAGTAGTTTCATGGGTCATGGTATTGCAGGGTGACGCTAAATATCAGGGCTTGGGTCGCCAAGGAGTCCCGAAAAGGAACCATATTTTGCAGCCCTAAACCCTTATACCCCTGACCCTCAACCCTAAACCCAGAAACCCCTGACCCTCAACCCTAAAACCGTAAACCCCTAAACCCCTAAAGCCTAAACCCGTAAAGGACTAAATCCCAGCCCCCCCAACGCATGGTCTCTGAGGTGGGCGTTGGCGGGAGTGGACGGCAGAGCTGCACTCGCTTGGCCAGTGACCCAGACAAGGGAGGTGGCCGGTTAAGGGTGGAGGGTTTAGGGTATATCGGGTATTGGGTAAAGGGTTTAGGGACACTACTCGAAATGTCCGCCTGGTTTGAATCAAGATTTGTCTTTGGGGGTTTTGTGCAGCCCGTTCTACGATACGGTCGGTCTAGATGGCGGTCTGAGGAGAAAGAGCGGGCTTGTTTTGTTAAGGATGCTCATTATAAGCTGTGTGACTAAAGTCCCTTGGATTAGCAGAGGGACTTGCTTACAGCTACCTGTGACCCCGTACAATTGCACGCGCAGGTTCACAACCTTCACTGTATTTTGTATCCAATTACAGTCTCCAAGTCTAAGCCCATTAGTATGGCTGAAGGCTTGCTACATGGCTGACTTCACAGTCTTCCAGATCGAGATCACGAAAGGTTACGACATGTCGGCCTTCCGGGAGGCTTTTGGGCTTGGGGCGGTGTAGGGCTTTAGGCTCAGGGTTGGCGTTTGGTTTGCAGCCCTTGCCGGGAAGGCATCTAACCACAGCAAACTAAAGGAATTGTAGTAAGTAGCGTGCAGCGTAGCGCTGGGTGGGTGCTTTGAGGTGCAGGGTATAACTTGGTGCCTCTTGTTTTGCCTGGGTTTGCGGGGAAGCAGCCGCTTAGGTTTCTGTTGTTTTGAGTGACCAGCTTGTGGAGATCTAGAGTTTGGAGGGTCCGGAGTCCAGAAGTGCTTACCTTCAGGGTTTGGGGTTTAGGATATAGGGATCTAAGTAGGCATCTTCAACAGAAGTATCATGCCATAGTGGTTCATTTTTCATGTTCCATGTTCTTTCCCATTTGTTTCCATCTTTGGGAGAAAATATCCCTGTACATCCCTATGTTATCCCTATGTACTCCTTAATATACATCCCTATTCCTATTTAATCCCTATATAGTTCTATATGACCCTTATATTAGTGGCTAGATGCGAATGTGGTCAAGCTTGACTCTTGCCTTTCATTTTTTACTTATGGAGATTGTGTGGAACTCATATCTGATACTTTGTTGGACATAAAAGAATATATAGGGATAATAACAGGGTTTAGGTTGTAGGGTAGGGGATAAGGGAAGATACTATATAGGGATTATATAAAGGTTATATTCCCTTATTCCATAGTAGAACCAGTAAGCTTGTAAGTGCAGTATAACGCGGGCGTCAGGGAGATTCATAAGTATACATATAACCCGAATAAGGCGTATAATAACCCCAGTTATCCCCCTTCTTAACGTATTTACTAAGTCCCCATGACCCTGCAAGTAGGGGTTCTGATGAAGATCATCCACAATGGAAGGGGTCAGCTAGAATATATGCATTTGATGAGAGGAGGTTTGGTGAGCCACTTCAACTTTATGCGTCATCTTATCTTTCACATTTGCTCCTTAGGTGTGACCACGCACTCAGCACTGTGACGGTTTCGCGCCATCCCTGAAGTGCGATGTAGACCTTTGAGAATGAATGCTCTTGTCATGCCTCCAGCTCGAAGTCTCGAAGTTTGCTAAGCCTCCGCAAGATCACTGTGCAAATGCCATCTACTGGGTCTTCCTTGTAGCCTTATTGTCCCCTTTATGTCGAAGCCTCAATAGGTAGCAATATCATTTCCCATAAACCTTATACAACTACTGTGTTCTATACCCAAAGCTACTCCAATTACTTAGGCCTCTTAATTACCTTACAGCCCTCCAGCTTCGAACCTCAGCCCCGAATCTTAAACCCTAAACCCTCAGCTCCATGGTGCATCACAGGACATGAAGAAGATGTTGACCAAAGCTGGGGGAAGCGAGGAGCACACAGTCTTCCTCTTCAGCGACACCCAGATCAAGGTGCAAGGGGTAAGTCGTAAATGCTTCCAGAACGGTAGATTTGCAGTTTCACACCCGGACAGATATAGGCAGTTTTTGTGAAGAGCAAATAGGAGATGCATCGGCGTGTTATAAGACAAAAGATAAACCAACCCCTTAAGTCAGGCTAGGGTGGCGGCTAAGGGTCGGGTGGCGAATTGAAACTGGGCTTCGCGGCTCCATTTAAGAACGGGCTTGCTGACTTTGCTCCGGACATTGCGACCCCTTTTCCACACACCCGCGGCATCACTTACTGTAGTAGCTAGATAACTTGTTTGGAGGAACACCCGGGGGATGCTATTTGGGTAGTTCCCAAAATTAGGGTCCCCGTCTTGATACCCCTGAATATGAGGTGCCGTAATAGAACATCTACCCCAAAAGGGCCCATAATTTTTAGAACAGCCCATCATTTGTGTGTGTGTGTTTTTTTTTTAATGTGGCAGTGCTGTGGGCTTCCATGACAGGACGAGGGCTTCGTGGAGGATGTGAACAACCTTCTGAACACTGGCGAGATTCCTAACCTCTTCCCGGCCGAGGACTGTGCCGGTTAAATGTAGGGGTGTCCTGAAATTGAGGGTACGTTCCCAATAGTAAGGATTAGAGTATTTTTGGGTCTACATTGGCGTTCGTTTTCTTTGGGAAAGTAGCATGTACGAAGAGGGTTTAGATTATATGCAGACATCTCAACACCAGGGTGCTCATGCACAATGCCAAGTCACAATTGAGAACTTAATGCTGTCCTCATGCCAGGGCCCTAAAACAGAACTCATTGTCGCGGTGCACCTGCAATATGCAGCTACGTATTGGTGGAGACGGTGCCAGCGTTGCATGCTACAGTCATGCTCGTGGCGGTGGCGGCGGCGACGGCGGTGGCGGTGGGGATTATCACCTGGCAGTACCACCGTAACATAGATAGTTGTGATTGGCAATGTGCAGGCGATTAGACTCATCAATAGGAATGTCAGGGTTTCTAGGAGGAGAGTTAGTGCTCCGGGCTGCGCTTCCGAAAGGCGACTTCTACATGAAACTTCAGGGAGCATTTGGAGAGCATAACTAATTTGGACTTACGTGATAAGATTCGATTGTTCGCTGTCATTTCCAGATGTGGGCCTGCTTCCCCCTCTGATTTTGGAGAAGCATTTGTTAACGATCCCCTGTTGCGGGCGATTCTCAGGAGGAGCGAAGCATTCTATCAGATCTGATAGACTTGTGCATGCAGTGCTTTTCCCAATGCTCCAAACCTTGGAGATGGTATGTTAGGGCCTTGGAACCCAAAAGCCCACTCTCAGGAAGAATGGATAATCGAATTTAATGTCTTCAGCATGTTATGTGAGCATACCTTCTGGACATGGACTGGTTTTTGGATCTCTGCTTGTAAAGCAGTGCACAGCAAACCCTTAGTTTCAGGTTTGGAGAACAGGCCGATCGAAAACATAGACTCCGTCTTTAAGCTACTGCAGCACAATAATTTTCAGCCGCACCTTTTCCTGGAAGTTCTGTTGTGTCAATCCTTCCGGTCTAGAACCTCGGTCAGCAGCCAAAGCCTAGACGCTTTCATTATCTAGCCCTAAATGCCAAGCCCCCAAACCCTAAACCCCAGCAAGCACTAGACACTGGGCAAGGAGCGCGTGGCTATTTGCCCCGTGGCTGCCTGTAATGCAGACAAAAAATTCAAGGCTGTTGTTTCAGGGTTTTTAGGGTTGAGGGTATAGCCATGAGAGAGCGGTAGAACACTTTATGGGACCCTATGGTCAGAGTTCATGAGCGATGTGCAACGAATCCATCAGGATGTTGCTCAAGATTCGAGAAGCAGATGCGAATACAGCTTTGGGGTTTACATGAATTGCACCGTGGGTCGCCAATCATAAGCCCACAATCCTTCCCACCGCCAATGGCCGAGGGCCAGGTACTGAGACCAGACCTAGGTGATCTGCCTAATCGTCTATCCAAGTAGTAGACGTCTCTGAAGCGCGGGGCCTAGGCCTAGGCTACAAAGTTTCCAGAAGCCAGACTCAAACACCTAGGCGTCGCTAGTTGTTCCAGTCTTATTTGTTTGTAGGAAGCAATTCACCATACATAGCAGCCCTATGTGCAATATGCCGTCAGAATTCCTATCACCCTTTTCCGACCTCTGAGCACTTAAGCCAGAGGCGGGAAGAACATCGCTGACTTCAACGGCGTTTACAACTCAGATACAATGTTCCGGAACACAGGGAACATGTTGGTATAGAAGTTTCACAAGAAGATAATGCAAATCTCTCAACAGCCACAACAGCATTTCTCTAATTACCCAAGCCCGGCAGGCTCTAAGTCAATAGGCGTACCCACACTGCGCCCTAAAGTCTATAAAGTCTATAAATAGTACCTACCCTGAACCCTAAACCCCACACCCAAAACCCTAACCTTGGGGAAACCCAGGTGAGATGGTCCGCAAGGCGGCCGCGGACGAGGGCAAAGCGCCAGCCGGGCTCACGGTCTGCGAACACGGTTTAGGGTTTAGGGTTTTGGGATGGCTGAATTAAGGGAAAATGGTGATTGTATGAAGGCCCGCTTGTATTCCTAAAATGCCACTATGACAGGGTGGAAGTCTGGTCCGAAATCCCTGATTTGGGGCAATATGCCATTGTTTCAGGATCCAAGCCCAAGGGTACAAACCCTACGGGTGCAATAGACAATTCCTTGACGGTAAGCAGAGATAAGATTGCTGGGCCCCGGGTGTAGCGACAAAGCAGGGGATGTGTTTCATTCTGCAAGGTTCTAGATGATAATTATCTTAAAGGTCTGTTTGCAGAATCTCTGCAGCCTGGGTGAAGTCTGCACAAGCCCATGGTTTTGGAATCCAGGGCTTACATGGTCGTTAGACCAGGGCTCAAGAATCTTCAGGCCAGGTGCAGGTACTTGCAGGATTTTGAAACTACTTTCCAGCCTCTGAAGGTGAAGAACATGGTTCCAGAATGATGTGGCTATGCCCCCACAGGTCGGGTCCCCCAATGTTGCTCCCAAAAAGAAGAAGGACGTATGATAGCATGCGAATGCGTGTAGGAGACAAAAGTGCGATGCCGTCCCGCCAAAATGCGTACTCATGTGACGGACCCTTAAGTCCTTGCTCTGCGCTCAAAATGCCATCACATTGCTGTTAGATGTCCAACTGCTGCCTACATAATCAAATCACATACGCGGATCCCTGAGCCAGGTAGCTTTCATCTCCCATGCTACCTATAGGTTCAGCAAGACCCCAAGGCGTTTCATTTTCGGCACAGGATATGGTCGACGCCTTCCTGCCATCAACACCAAACCATTATACAGATGCTGTTGATTTTGCTGCAGATGACAATCATGACCTTGATGGCTACCGCTACGGAGGGTCTGGGAGAAAGATTTGGTAGCTTCCCGAAATAAAGGGACTCCAATATAGACCCCAAAATATTATAGTCCTTGTTATAGGGACTCCCAAAACGGTACCCCTAAATTTGGGAAACCCCCATTTAGTGCTTGATTTGTGTGCCGCTGCTGGTGGCTCTGTGTTGTCACGCGACATCTCCTGCAAGGGAAGCTCAAAGCACATACCCGCAACACCGTATTCAAGATCACATCCTGAACTCAAAACTTACCTCTAGCAAGGACGGAAGGAATGGATCCCGATAGTAGTACCTACATAAACCCTGAAATACCAGGTGTAGCAGTTTCGATTGTATTTCCCTTCATTCCCTGCTAACCGCAGGCAAGTCCCAACTCTAAACCGGGAGGGATTCATTATTCTGTGAGGGCCTTACACGACTCAAGACAAGGATCTTCAAAATTTTGATTATGGAAGCCCGCGCAGTTGTTCCTCTCGAGGTATTTGGGGGAGCACCTTCGATGCTGAAAGAGTGCCAAACATGTTCCCTAAACAGCACCATGTATAGCCCTGGCAGACCATATGCCCACAATCTGGAAAGCTAGTATAGCTTCTAGGCTCCTCGCTGCAGGAGCTGTAAACATCCCTTCACTTTCAATCTATGGCCCTTGTAGAGCTGCTGCGGCAATGGCTCTCTCCCGACGGAAGAGCTTCTCGGCTGCAACGCCTGTGTCACGTGTAATGTTGCAGCTGACATTTGTTAGCGTAGTATTGCAACGATAACTTTGATGCGTTCTTATAGTCCTTTAGCACATATGTAATCTGGTATGTAATATCTACAGGGTGCTATACACCACCCAACCATGCATCAACACTTTGTCCCATAACCTAAGACTTTACACAGTAGCCCAGTCTCCGTAATCGTCCCAATGAGATTTCCGCCAATTGCCGAATAATCATTGTTGCCACGGACGGGCTCACTCCAATGCAGATCTAGGTAGCCTTTCGCAACAGCATGTTTATAACAACTTCCCAAGGAGGACATCTATCCCCAAAACTGGTGTTCTTATGATACCGTACCCGGCGTGTGACCATCATTTGAAGCATCCCCATTCACGACCCCATGGTGTGATTAGTTGTTCTTCAACCGAAAAAGGGTTTTGCGAAGCCGCCTTTTGGGATGTGAGGGCCCTGGGATACTCAGGGATTTCCGGGAATTAGGGTTTCCTTTGTGGGGTCTTCACAGTAAGGATTACCTTAGACCCAAAAGACCTTCAGTTTTAGGACCCTATGGTATAATTCTCCTAAAGCTGAAGGTCTTTGGGGTCTAAGGTATGGTATACTGGGGTCTATGTCAGGGTTCTCTTTTGTCACTTTTCCGGTGCTAGTGGATTGGAGTGTGGCAGGTGCCTCAGTGGAGGTAATGTATACACATGAATACGGTTGTTTCCCAAAATAAGGGGACCCCAATATAGACCCCAAAATACTACAGTCCTTATTATAGGGACCCCCAAAAGGTACCCCTAATTTTGGGAAACCCCCGTATCGTCGTCCCCAAAAGTGAAGAACCAGCTGGAACAGAACATGGGACATGCGATGCAAACCCTAAGTCCCTTTCAAGTGGTCTATAGGGGTCATATAAAGTTTAGAGATACTACCCCAATAAGAATGGGGAATCGCATAGAAAAGACATTAGAAATGAACTCGGAACTGGGTTTATACAGGGGGCTTTAGCGGGATAGTTGCCAAATATAGTGGTCGCAAACTCCTTGTACAATTATGGTAGATACAAACCTGAAATAGACTTCAAACTTGCAATGGTAATTCTAGAGGCGCCTACATAAATATAGGATTCCCTTCTATAACCTCTATGTAAACCGCCATCCATGCCATTTCATGTTCTTTCCCATTTAATTCCACATTCTTGGAGTTAACGCCCCTATTAAGGCCCTAAGCCTGAAATTACTCCGCCTAGATTATGTACAGTGCCTTGAAGAGAATAGCAGGATAGCCCAAGAGACAAACATCAGCGTCCAGGCAGCCTTACACCCTAAACCCTAAACCCTGGCATGGCATTTGCCCTTGAGGGTTCAGGGTTAAGGATGGTTCAGGGTTAAGGGGTTATACTGGGGTTATATATTG